CACACACACACACACACACACACACACACTTTTGTCTGATCATCACCCAATAACATTTAAATATACAATAATGGATTACACAGCAGTGGGGAATATATTTCATCATAGTAGATGTCTTTCACAAAATGTTGTAACTACATTTAAAGATATAATTATTCCAGTGTTATCTTCTTTTATGCCTTATGCCAACAGTGCAGAGTAGCTAGCTGAACGCTACTCCCACAGAGGTCTTTTATCATGTCAATAATTTTACTTCTTCAATATGTACGATTCTGGATACTGTAGCTCTTCTGAAAAAGAAGACTTCAATCAGTACCTGATTCCCTGGTATACCTCTCAAACGTGCAATTTAAAGCTGATACAGTGGTCCCTCATTTATCGTGGGAGTTATGTTCTAAAAATAACCTGCGATAGCTGAAATCCCTGAAGTAGCCAACTGTATTCTCTTTTTTTTTTTTTTTACAATTATTATAGATGTTTTAAGGCTGTAAAACCCTTCACTACACACTTCATACACTTTTCTCAGACAAGCATGAACATCTTCACACTTTTCTCTCTTGTTTAAACACTCTCAAAGTTCAAACCTTTGTAGAAAAACAAGTCTAGTATTCCAGAATGAAATCAAGGCTAAAAAACTGTTTTCAGGTCTAGAACATGGGAATAGAGCAGCTGCAAGAGAATTCAACATTAATGCAACAATGGTACAGAAGTAGAGGAAGCAAGAAGAATGAGTTGTGTAAAGTTTGACTTTTCTGACTGTTTTGTTTCGCTTAGTGCGCCTTATAATCTGGAAAATACGGTAACTTCTACTTTCCGCTAGCATGTCCAGAAGTCCAACTTTTTGTGCGATGGTTAGCAGCCTCCTCTGCCTTTTGGGTGCTACCGCAGGTGCCTTTGACTGTGCAAAACGTTTCGGCAACATTGTTGTGTTTGTTGGGGAGAAAACTTACAAACATACACAACAGCACTTCAGAGTCACACTGCTAGCGATCGAAGATTTTTGTAAATTTGACAAGCTGAACGCATTCTGTACTGTACAGGAAACCCGGCACAAGATTGGACGCAGAACACAATGTGCTGTGCAAACAAAAACAAACTATGCAAAACTGCACCAAATAACATTAGCGAAACAGCGAGGCTGCGAAAGGTGAACCACATTATAGCAAGGGACCGCTGCAGAAGAAATTGCACCTTACTAATTTAAAATCGTTGTTTAGCCTGGAAAGCCAGTTTGCATCTGTATAAAAAAAGAAAGGCTACATAATAATACTAGAGAACATCTTACTATTCATCACTGATTGATGGAAATAAGAACAACACCAGGTTTCTCTATAACACTCTAGCCAGACTGAGAAAACCTGGGGCTCTGTTGAGCAAACAGTCGTTTAACGTCAACTAGTGATGACTTTGTGAATTTCTTCACATGTAAAATTTTAAACATTGAAGAAAAAATTGCCCATAATCATCTCACAGATGTAACATTATGTACAGCTACTTTCAGTAGGAAAAATTCAGGAAAAATGACAAAAGCTTTGTCCAAAAACTTATGGGCCATACTGTACAATAAAAAGGTGTTTGTGAAAAAACAAAAACAATTTTTGTGTCTGCCTGAACTTTATTTTGCAGCTACCAAACACAACAGTGAGCAGAAAGACTAAAGAAAAAGTCAAGATTCAGTTTAGAAAAGAGAAAAACTAAAGCAAAACAAGCAACATTATGTGCTTTAAGATGCAAATTTGAGATGTATATCAGGGAATCAGGTACTGATTGAAGCATTTCTTTTTCAGAAGGGCTACAGTATCCAGAGTTGTACATAGTGAAGAAGTAGCGTTCAGCTAGCTACACTGCACTGTTGGCACAACAACATTTTTAATCTTTTTTTTAAGACAGAGTCACTCAAAAATAAGCACTGATTTTCAATAATCCTGTAAATAAATGACAAAAGAACCCCAGTGCAATTCAACATAGGTTTTTATTCATTGTTGGTTCATTTTCAATTCATCCTTTGTGGCAGTTGTAGCTGTTGGTTAAGGAGCAGCTTATCGTCGTATAGCAGCAAGAAGCAAA